AAATCAGTTGAAGACTAGTTGGAAACTAGGTGGAGAGTAGGTGGAGATTAAGGGAAAATTAGGTGGAGATTAGTTGGAGAATAGGCAGACACTAGTTGGAGACTAGGTGGAAACTAGTTGGAGACTAGGGGGAAATTAATTGGTGCCCAAGTTGAGATTAGTTGGAAATTAGTTGGAGATCAGTTGAAGATTAGTAGGAGACTAGATAGAGAATAGTTGGAGACTAGGTGGAAACTAGGTGGAAATTAAGACTAGGTGGAGACTATATAGTGACTTGTTGGAGACTCTGTGGAGAATAGTTGGAGACTATTTGGAAACTAGGTGGAGATTAGTTAGATACTAGTTGGTGACTAGATGGAGATTAGTTTGAGATTATTTGGAGACTAGGTGGAGATTAGTTGGAGATAAGTTAGAGACTAGATATAGAATAATTGAAGACTAGCTAGAGCATAGGCGGAGACTAGTTGAAAAATAGAGGGAGATTGTTGGAGACTAGGAGGAGATTAGTTGGAGACTAGGTGGAAACTAGGTGGAGACAAGTTGGAGATTAGGTGGAGACTAGTTGGAGTCTAGATGGAAACTGTGACTCTAAGCCCTGCAAGATAAAATTGTGTTTCTGCCTCAGAGAAGCGTTTCTCCAAATAGCTTTCCATCTGAGTGTGTCCTGTATAACCCCTGACCTTATAGATGGACCCAGCAGTCCTGAAATTGACAATCAGTTCTGCACTTTGCACCCTCACCTCTACTTTTGTCTTTCCCACCCTATCCATGTCTCCCTTTGTCCAACTTTGCTCTCAACACTGTAGTGAGTCTCCCTCACCTTTTTAAGCATCATAAGGCATTTTATAGGAACAGATGAGTGTTCTCTTATTCTTCTTGTCTTCTCTTCAGGCAGTATTAAAAGTCGCCGCTCTTCTTATCTGCTTGCCATCACCACTGAGAGGTCCATGTCCTGCGACGAAGGCCTCAACACTTTCAGGGAGGAAGGCCGAGTATTCTCGTGAGTAGAACAGACATTTTATAATATGGACGCCAACCAAACCTGCATTTAACATAACTTGATTTCTACAATATTTAGATACATGATGTTGGTGTCTAAACATACATTTTGATGTATAATGTATTAACTGGTACCCAACTACTTACAGGTGCTGGTCTTATAATTAGAATATCACGAAAAAGTTTATTTATTTCAGTAATTCCAATAAAAAAATTGATATTGATATTATATTCATTCATTACACACAGACTGATATATTTCAAATGTTTATTTCTTTTAATGTTGATAATTATAACTGACACATAATGAAAACTCCAAATTCAGTATCTCAGAAAATTGAACATGAGAAAGTATGAACATGAAAAGTATGAACATGTACAGCATCAATTGTACAGCATCAATACTTAGTTGTTGCTCCTTTTGTCTGGATTACTGCAGCAATGCGGCGTGACATGGAGTGGATCAGTATGTGTCTCTGCTCAGGTGTTCTGAGAGTCCAGGTTGTTCTGATCGTGGCCTTCAGCTCTTCTGAATTGTTGGCTCTGGTGTGTCACATCTTCCTCTTCACAATAACTCATAAATTTTCTATGGGGTTAAGTTCAGGAGAGTTTGCTGGCCAATTAAGAGCAGGGATACCATGGTCCTTAAACCAGGTACTGGTAGCTTTGGCACTGTGTGCAGGTGACAAGTCCTGTTGGAAAATGAAATCTGCATCTCCATAAAGTTGTTCAGCAGCAGGAAGCATGACGTGCTCTAAAACTTCCTGGTAGATGGCTGCGTTGACCTTGGACCTCAGAAAACACAGTGGACCAACACCAGCAGACATGGCACCCCAAACCATCACTGACTGTGGAAACTTGACACTGGACCTCAAGCAACGTGGATTCTGTGTCTCTCCTCTCTTCCTCCAGACTCTGGGACCTTGATTTCCAAAGGAAATACATAATGTACTTTTATCAGAGAACATATGGACCACTCAGCATCAGTCCCAGGCGAGACACTTCTGACACTGTCTCTTGTTCAAGAGTGTCTTGACAAAAGAAATGTGACAGCTGAAACCCATGTCTTCCATATGTCTGTGCGTGGTGGTTCTTGAAGCACTGGCTCCAGTTGCAATCCACTTTTTGTGAATCTCCTCCACATTTTGATGTGTTTCTTTTTTTTTTCACAATTCATTCCAGGGTGCAGTTATCCCTATTGCTTGTACACTTTTTTTCCTACCACATAATTTCCTTCCCTTCACCTCTCTATTAATGTGCTTGGACACAGAGCTCTATGAACAGCCAGCCTCTTTAGCAATGACCTTTTGTGTCTTGCCCTCCTTGTGCAAGGTGTCAATGGTCGTCTTTTGGACAACTGTCAAGTCAACAGTCTTCCCCATGATTGTTTAGCTACAGAACTACAAACCGAATTCCAAAAAAGTTGGGACACTAAACAAATTGTGAATAAAAACTGAATGCAATGATGTGGAGGTGCCAACACTAATATTTTATTTAGAATAGAACAAATCACAGATCAAAAGTTTAAACTGAGAGAATGTATCATTTTAAGGGAAAAATCTGTTGTTTCCAAATTTCATGGTGTCAACAAATCCAAAAAAAGTTGGGACAAGTCCATTTTTACCACTGTGTGGCATCCCCCCTTCTTCTTACAACACTCAACAGACGTCTGGGGAAAGAGGAGACCAGTTTCTCAAGTTTAGAAATAGGAATGCTCTCCCATTCATGTCTAATACAGGCCTCTAACTGTTCAATCGTCTTGGACCTTCTTTGTCGCACCTTCCTCTTTATGATGCGCTAAATGTTCTCTATAGGTGAAAGATCTGGACTGCAGGCTGGCCATTTCAGTACCCGGATCCTTCTCCTACGTAGCCATGATGTTGTGATTGCTGCAGAATGTGGTCTGGCATTATCGTGTTGAAAAATGCAGAGTCTTCCCTGAAAGAGATGACGTCTAGATGGGAGCATATGTTGTTCTAGAACCTGAACATAGTTCTCTGCATTAATGGTGCCTTTCCAGACATGCAAGCTGCCCATGCCACAAGCGTTCATGCAACCCCATACCATCAGTGATGCAGGCTTCTGAACGGAGCATTGATAACAACTTGGGCTATCCTTGTCCTCTCTGGTCCAGATGACATGGCGTCCCAGTGTTCCATAAAGAACTTCAAACCATGACTCATCTGACCACAGATGTAGATGAACAGATGCTGGCATATATTCATCATTTAACGCGGGTTCCTCATTTTTCTGGACTGAATAAAACGTGCATTGAATTTAAGGAAATGCAAACGTGAGACGTCATTTAGATTTGACCCATCAAAATGAATGCGGTCATTTATTTACAGAATCAAATTTAACATCAAACATTTACATTAATTTGGCAAATTATGAAAATAACAACAAAGCAATCAATCAGGAAAAATCATACGGCCATGATTTTTCCGTTGCTTCACCACAGACATTTATGAAAACTGTACAACTATGATCTTTTGCCCACATGAATGTGGGTGAGCATTTTACACAGACATTTCTAAATATCTGGAAGAATTTCTACTTGATAGAAAAGTTTAAAGATGGAAAGAAGTTTAGAGGGAGTAAAGGATGGTGTGTGAGGGAAATTAAGTGTTCACCAGAATCGACACTCTCCGGCTTTCTTCAGCTTTTCCTTACAGTACACTTAGGTGATGAAATCGGCTCCTTTACCTGGAGATGTCTCAGGTGAGATTCCGTTTAACGCACCCTTTCAGCGTCTCAGTAGGATGCTGTTACTCGTCCGAAGTAATGGCGAGGCTCTGTTCGACACACATTCACCTCAGTGGAAAATGTTATAATCCCATGGAACTCGGAAGAGCTTTGTTGTCATGTCAGGAACTCCAACAGCACTCCATCAGAACTTTAGCTCTCGTGTAGTTTACAGAACTCCAACAGAACCGACTAGACCAGGAAGTACTGACATTTTAAAGACTCTTTCCCGGTTCACTTTTTGGGATTTGTTCATTGGTCAGAAACGACCAGACGGGGTGGGTTTTGTGACGTAAGAGGTTAGAGGCAGCGAGAATTGTTATGAGGCAGATCAGAAATGTTCTCACAGACAGAGAGGGTTTTGTTTTGGCGTGTTTCAGGAAATAGGTGCAAAACATCTCTACTTACGTCTGAGAGGATTCTAAAACATGACAGTTTTAACATAACAACTTGTTTTTCGTTTGACTGTAACCTTGTAAACGCACACACTTGCTCATTCAAAAGCAGAAATCAGAAAATGCATAATTATTCTGTAACAGCTTTGACATGAGAATAAAAATCATTACTCAGTTAATAAAATTGATTAGTTCACTGCAACATCTAAAATGGTTTGAACTAAGACACTTTGATTATCAACATTTGTAAGATAGTAATGATAATAAAAAGAGAGTGTTCTTTTCACTTGAATCTTCAAGAAAGAAAGTCTCAGGATGGGTGAACCTGTATTTATGTATTCAAATACATGAAATGACAGTTCCTGTCCCACAAGGTTCTAAAGGTCAAGAGTTTTGACCTTAGACTTAGTTTCGACGTAGGCCTAGTCCACTACAGTCCCCCCTTTGGAAATCATCACCTGTCCATGGAGATGAATTCCAACTATGGACTTACGTCGTCGATTGTCCTTGAAGCTTGATGTAATCCAGCAAAGAAACAAGAGTCAAGAGTAATCCAGCAAGGAAAACAAAAGTCAAGGTAATTCCACAATGTTCTTGGTAATTCCATTGTGTTGATTATAATTCCATATCGTCTCGACAATTCCATTGTAGCAATGCTTTAACCCCTT